ATCCAGCCAGTTTTTAACCCAGCAGAGTCTGAACAATGCCTGTCTAGGCTACTGGCAGCCAGTTTCTCAAGCAGAATGCTGGAGTAAATGGTGTCAAAGGTTTTGCTAAAGTCCAGGTACACCACATCCACAGCCTTTCCTTTGTCCATGAAGCACATAACCTTGTCATAGAAGGAGATCAGGTTAGTCAGGCAGCACCTGCCTTTCATAAACCCATGCTGCCTGGGTCTGATCACCTGGTTGGCCTGTGTGTGCTGTGTGATAGCACTCAAGATGATCTGCTCCATGACATTCCCTGGCACTGAGGTCAGACTGACAAGTCAATTACAGACCGACAAGTCAATTCCCCAGATCCTCCCTCTGGCCCTTCCTGTAAATGGGCGTCACATTTGCCAATCTCCAGTCAAGTGGAACCTCCCCAGTCAGACAGGACTGTTGGTAGATGATGGAAAGGGGTTTGGTGAGCACCTCTACCAGGTCCCTCAATATCCTCGGTGGACCCCATCCAGCCCCATAGACTTGTGAATGTCTGTTTGGCTGAGCAGGTCTCTAACCATTTCGTCCTGGATCATGGGAGCTTTGTTCTGCTTCCCGTACCCAAAAAAATTCAATTTTAAGTTCAATATGAACAGAAGAAACTAGAGAGTACATTTCATAATTTTAAGTAATTTGAAATAGTGCCCATTCTGACTTTTTCTGACCACGCTACATTTACATAAACTGTTCAAATTTGCCTCGGTGTTCACATTGGGCAATGTAACAACATTTGGCATTTAATGTGCAGCATTACCCTTATCCTCACCCACCTGGATGCTATTCTCTTCTGCCTATTATCTGGATGAATAACTGATTTCAGTATGAAGTTTGATGAGCTACTGATTAATGAATTCAATACCTTAAACAAAATATGGAAGTATACATTTAATTACATAAGAACCAAGAAAAAAATTACAGCTTTTGCCATAAGCATTGCAACTTAAATGAAAAATACGTATGTCGCAATTTAAAAACAAAAACAAAAAACAGACTGTCAACAGTTTTCTCAGTGTTTAAAACTGAATAGCAGTACAGTGAATGACCAGTTGTAGAGAGGCAGAAGAAATATTAAATTTTGCCTGTGAGTTATTTAGTTTTTTGGGGAAAATAAAATGTAAATATAAAAGTATAAAAATTTACTATATAAGGTTCAACATTCAGCACCTGAAATATTAGAAGCATATATTGTTATCAAATACTTAACTTACACTCATATTCCTATCCCAGATCTGGATGGAGCCATCTTGACAGCCAGCTGCAATAAGTTTACCATCTCTGCTGTATGTGCAAGTTGTAGGAATCACCCGTTTACCTTGAATTGATCGTGGTTTAAATACACTTTTGTGCTTTTTTTCATTGTTAACATCCCACGTCCTCACAGTTCTGGAAAAAGTTTAAAGATAGATTCATTATAGATAAATTTCATATGTATAAAATAATTCTTCTTATGATATAATCAAACACCTTTTTCAGCATAAATGGTATCTAATATTGTTCAAATGAAGTTGCAATGGCAAAATAGCATTTAAGATATGGTATGGCAGTTATGAAACTAACGTGCCAACTTTAAAAGAAACATCATATTTCCTAACATGCATGTGACTTTAAAAAAAAAAATCATTTCTTCGTAAAATCTCAAGTAAATATATAAACTTATTTACAACTGGACAAATTACTAAAGGTTAATACAGAGGCATTATATAGTCTCCACTGTCAATGGAAATCAGGAAGATGACAGTATTCAGTCCTTCACAAGAATGAAGACCAGGAAACAGGCATGAATGCTTACACAAATTCATTAACTAAACAGATTGTCTTAATTGTTCTGACATGAAAACAACTGACAAACTTGCTTTTAATTGGCAGTATTGCAGACTGGCTGGTTATTCTTCAGACTTCTATTTATTTTAAAAAGGCATTTTAAACAATGAATTGCAATATTATTGTAGTTCTCGTCCACTAATCCTGAAGGTCCTAGAGTTCTGTTGTAAAAGTGTTCTTCAAATAATTTGCAAAGATTCATTTATATAATACTGTTTTTTCAAGTTGAGTTTTTCCCACATTATTAGCAAAATTAATACATCCTTTTTTTTAATGGAAAAAGACTATCTGCCTGGATCTTCAATGTTTCTTAGATACACAAAAACATCAAAATGAAAGAGAACTAAAACACTGAGACACAGGTGGACTCTTTTAAACTGTCTTAGATACAAATGTTTTCTGTCCATTTAATACGTTGACTTCTTTCCAGATAAAAATTCAAAACTCTTCTGGCATCTAATGCAGCAAAGAGGTTCAGGATTTGGCAAAGGAAGGAAGATCATTAATTTAGAAAGAAAAAAAAATCACTAAGTTCTCAAGACAACCTCATTGTTTAGACTATACAAACACTGCCTATGATCCAACAGCATGTAATTCACTGGTTTCTAGCAAAGCAAATAGCGCTTTAACAAAGACTGCCATTTCTCCACAGCAAGACAAGGCGCTGTGGCATAGCATTAGGAACTTCCATCAGAGCTACAAGACCAGACAGGCTAAAGAGCTGACATATATATAATTCTAGGATACAGAAGAGAAGAAAATGAGCTGGAAATAGCTCATAGAAGTTATATTTAATCACCCATATAATGACAGTAATGAAAAATATGTAAATGAAGTAGAGTGAATATCTAGTTGTCCATAATCAAGTCAAGATTAGTCTCATTTTTAAAAGTCTTCAAATCTCTCTGTAAGGCATCACTTCATAGGTACTTGATGATCTCAAAGGTCTTTTCCAACCAAATGATTCTATGATGGCTCTGTTTGAAACTGTAGCATAAGATATTCCAGTGTTCTGATGGTTAGTTTGGGTTATGGGCTTTTTTGGTTTTTGTTTTTTGTTTGTTTGGTTTTTTTTCCCTTCATTTTAAATGAAACATTAGATTACGATGTATTTTCTAGGGTTACTTAAATAAATCCATTCTGCTATATGGAACAGGTCGCTCAGTAAGGTTACACAATTGCCTTTCTTAGAGTCATTCTAAACTTGTCTGGACATGGCCATGTGCCTAGATGATCCTTCTTGGAACATGATGGTTGTATTAGAGGATCTTCAGAGGTCACTTCCATCCTCAACCACTACATGGCTCTGAGATTTCACTTTCTCTCTCCCTGTGTTGTCAACAATCATCACAGTCTCCTACCTTTCAACAGGCACATTGACACTTTCTCCCATTCTGAAATTTACTCAAAACTTGAGTCTTTTTCCAGTCCCTTTCTCTCATTATATTAAATGATTCTAGAATCTCATCTGAATATGCTGTACCTCCAGCTTATTTTCCTCCTCTTGTGATCATCTCCTGCTGGAAAGTTACTTCCTCAGACTGCAAGCTTCCCAGGACTGCCTTGGCATACCCACTTCTCAGATGGTGTACCTAGTAACACGGTTATGTGCAGGGAAGATTAAACTCTGCCTTCCTCTATTTGGCGTTTTATCTAAGATGCCTCTCAAGCATCTCAGCTGCCATTCCAAAAATAATCTCTGAGAATCATTCAGCATCCCAATTGTTCATTTCTGCTGGAACAGAAAGGCTTTTCTAGAGCCTCCAGTCTCCTCTTTTTAGGGTTCAATGTCCTGTCAAAACCTCAATTGTCTCACAACACCATAGATCATACTCAAATCTTCTCATTTATTTCACCTTTCAACTGTAAAGAAAGACGTAATATGTATAGCTCTATCTCTTATAACACAGGAAAAAAACAAGTGAGCCCTCAATCAACTGTAATATCAGCAGAAATATCAGCAAAAAGTCCAAGTTTTCTGAGCTGCTGCTTCTGCTGCAGACAGATGGCCACACTCCCTCATATGAGAGTTACACGCCCTGCTGAAAATGCCCTCCTAGCCTATATATGTATTTAACATTCCCTCAATGTTTTCTTAATTTCCCACACTGAATGTGTGTTTACTGTTGCCTTGCTGCTATTGGATCTAACTATAAAACTTAGTTCTACTAAAATAAAATAATTATTTTACAGGAAATAATCTATATATTACTTACAAATTGATCAATCATTCCCAGAGAGTCAACTCTTGAGCTAAGACTGAGCTCTTTAATCTCTTCTTTCACATCAGATCAACTAAGTATTTTTATTCTTTATGGAAACATTTCAAATTTTTCTTGATAAATGGATGTCATTTTGCAACCACATGTAATACCACGGACAAAATTTCAGCTTATCACTCGAATCAATCTGCCCATGGTTTCTGACTGAATCACCACCAACCAAAATATCAGCAGTCATCTATAAACTCTGTATGTTTTATACCTTCCTTCAGACCAGTGATGGACTAGAAACATAAGGATCGCTGAATGACCTCAGAGAGATACTTTCACTACTCCATTCTAAGGATCTTCATCACACAGTCTGATATGATATAGACTAATTTGTTCTGACTTTCCCTCTGCCAGTAACTATTTGAGCTTTGTTTCTTCCTTCAGCAGGCACTTTGATGCTTTCTCCTCCACTACTGTTTACACTTGAAACATATTTTAAGCCTTTTTCCAGTCCCTTTCCCTCATAACACCTAATAGTTCCTAATATTTAATTTGTCCCATTCTAGCCAAAAGGAAAGGGGATAAATAAGGAAGGAGGCACAGAAACCCAAACAATTTAACTTCAGAGAATATGTCTTTAAACTGGCAATATGGTAAACATGCTAACTAAGGATGCTTCTGTATTTTCTCTCCTCTTCTGCTACTGAACCTCAATTACCATATCACAGTCAACTCAGAAAGCACCATTTAAAATTATGACTGTTTTTTTATAGAATATTTTATACCATTTAATAGTTCTTCTTCCTCCTCCTCAAACATAATGAAAAAAATAACTGAGACTGCATTACGGAAGTCTGATTTTCACTTCTTAACCTGCTCTGGGTCCAATCTAATGTTATTTGTGTTGAAACAAATACAAAATTTTAACCCTGCATCAATCAGATCAATTCCAGGAGACTCATTTTGGCCAAAAAAGCCTCTTATTAAGAGTATCTCCCTAGGTCTAAATAAGTGTGGGAGGAAAGAGTAACACTGTTTTAAGCTCCACATGGCAACATCTAACAGAATTATAATACTAGTATTTATCTGTTGAGAGGTATAACCATGATAACTTTTAACTCCACTGAAAACAAAAGGAAAACCTTTCCTGAATGAGGCTTTTTTTTCCACCTGAAAACAAACTATGTTTAATGAAAGTCTGTTCTTTAGTGAAAACAACATATAATGTTATTTCATCACATTAAATTTTAATATACTGAACGATACACAGACACACATACATATTTTAAATTTCTCTTTCATAAATTTATTTTCAAATAAAACTTCCATGAAAAAGGCTCCACACACACAAGTTGAATTTAAACTTCTTAAATGGTGGATTCCACATCTGCAGAACAGATTTTGTAAAGTTCTTATATTTGCCAAGAGCAATTCAAAGCAACTATGAAAAGGATGGGAATGTTCTTTTGGAAAGGTAACATGGATATTTTCCTGACCACTGAGAAGTTAAATGACCCGTAACAAACAACTAATGTAATTACTGAGGTTTGAGGAGGGGTGGGTGTGGGGAGTGAGGGGTACTGGGGGTGGTGTTTGTTTTTTTCCCCATAAATGGTTTTTCTCTTTTCTCCCTTTTTTCAATTATGTTATTACTAAGACAGAATTTCTAATAAAATCCATTACTGACAATGTTGTTGTATTACACAAATTATTAAAGATATTTATGTAGCTGCATTTCCCAGCCTGCAAGCACAGAAAACTTCTAAGTCCTGATTCAGTAAGCCACTGCCCATTCTAATACTATTCTAATACAATCTGCTGAAATTCAAGGAGTGAACCAATTCAAATAGTGAAAGCCTGACCTGTCAAATTCCACTAAGCTTCTCTGCCTGTCCCATCTCTGTTTCTACTGGATTTCAAAACTCTCTTGTACAGTATTGAATGTTACTGGCATTTAATATAGTATAAATACATTAAGTCTATTCTTAATAATAAAGTCTATTTTTATCACACTTAAAATACAAAAAAACCAACAGAATACACTACTGCTAAAAGTACAGATCAGGCTTAATGCTGTACACTAGTAACTACATTATAATACTTACCTTTGTAATATAATATAACTACTACCTTTGTAATATAAGGTCACCCAAAAAAGGCTACCTTGGAAAGTGCTAACATAGTTTAAATTCATCGTACAAACACTGCTGCAATAGAATTTATCAGCAGAACACAGAATTCCAAATCATCTTATCAGTGACAGAAAACATATTTTTTAAAGGGTTGAATTAAGCCTCTTCATAAATAAGTAAATGATCTTAAAGCAAGATTTATTTCGTCTTTTTTATG